TCTCACATGGAGAGCTTGTGGCTGATGTTGCAGCGGGCGCTCCTCCCCCTGCACAATCTGGGACAACACGGCCCCCAACCCCCTGTCTGATGCGTCAGTCTGTAAAATGAAAGGGAGAGAGAAGTCAGGAGAATGTAACAGTGGTCAGCCACAGAGTACGGCTTTTACCTGAGTGAAAGCCTGCTGGCTTTCCGTCCACTGGACCGGATCTGGCTCACCCTTTTTAATGAGCTCATTGGAGTCAAGGGGATCTGCCATTATCCCTTTATCAAATCCAGTGTCGAATAAAAGCGAGCCACACCTAACCGATTGAGCAGTTCGTCAATGCAAGGCATTGAATTTAGACACCACGTTGACTTTTCTAAAGTCCACACAAAAACGGATCATCCCGTCAGTTTTGGGGACCAAAACGACTGGGCTGCTCCAGTCACTGTGGGATTCCTTGATTACCCCATGTCGAGCATAGCCTTGAGTTCATCCTGAACCACGTTTTTTTTGTGTTCGGGCAGACAATAGGGGCGGCTGCATACCACCACCCCTGGGGGTGTCTCTATGTGGTGCTCTATGAGATCAGTGCGACTGGGTAGAGACAAGAACACGTCGGAAATCTCTGCTTGCAATTTAGCAACATCTGTGATTTGGGACAGTGCGTGGTGGTCTCCATAAGGGATCGGGGTGGATTGAGTCGCTGTTTTTATATTTACCTTCGGTCCCAGCTCCTCCCTCTCTGGAACGACTGTCTCGAGAGCCACGGAAACTGCTTCTCTCCAATGGTATGAGGAAGTTAAGGTGTTAAAACTGCCGCGCCCTGCCTCTATCCTTTCTCCTTACCTCATAGTTGACGTCCCCAACTCGCCATGTGACCTCAAAGGGTCCTTGCCACTTGGCAAGTAATTTAGACCTCGACGTGGGCAGCAAAACGAGCACTGTATCTCCTGGTGCAAACTCCCATAGCCGAGTACCCCTGTCTGTTCTAATGGTAAGGGGTGCAATGGCGCTTTTGGGGTGGCCGGTGAATTCACCAGCTGACATTTGCGACATGCGGCGAATGCCTGGCCAATAAAAATGAGCCATTAGATGGTCTAGTGTTTTGTCCTGCCCTAAATGCCCAGCCATGGGATTATAATGAGCCATCTGGAATAACATTTCCCAACGGCTCTTTGGGACCACCAATTGGGTTGTCTCGTCTCTAGTTTGAGTGTCCGGCATCACTCTGTACAACCTATCCTTAATAATTGAAAAATAGGGGTGGGAGAGCGCAACATTATTTTATACTGAATTTGCTGACCATCGATTACTCTCACTTGGTTGAAGGTGTGTCTGAGGGTCTCGTCGTGCGACAGCTCCAAGAGGAAATCCCCGAGGAGAATCCCTGCCAAGAGGGAAGGAGTGGGGCTCTCCCCACTCTCTGTGTCCCCTCTGACATGGAGCTGACGTTGATGGCCCCGGCACCACCTCCCCAGCCAATGCTGCGCACATTCCACACCATCTCTCATTACTGCAGGACCCATCCACAAACGTTTCTTTCACTAATGTCTTAAACCCTTGTCAATTGGTTCCCAGGATCAGTGGATGGGTGAGGCAAGGACTATCCGCCGCCTCCACTATGTGTTTTTGCCCCTGAAATTTAAGGATGATGGGCACCAGTGGATATTGGTGAACATCCCCTGTACACACCTCACCTTCACCAACCGTGCATTTCCCAATGCCTCCCCTTGGACCAAGCACTGGTGAATAGAGGTTTGGTTACAGCCTGAATCCACCAATACCTGGTATGTACCCTCTTGAACACTTACCAGTATGCGGTATGTCCCTGCTTGATCAGGGGCGGCCTATGGTGCATCAGGGATCCGGATCGGCGCCCCCACCTCCATCACGTGGCACTGGTCCTGGAAGTGCCCGGGCTCCCGGCAGCACCAGCAGACCGGCCCAGACTTGACTCACTCACTCGCAGCCCCGGATTCACCCATCTGTGGGAAAGAGGACAAAACAGAGGGAAATGGAGGGGGAACGTGGGAGCGGGGTGCAGGAGGGAGGGGAAACACAAGAGCGAAAGAAAGAGAGAGAGCGAGAGAGAAGTGGAGGAATTGCAGGTCCCCGGATACGCCGCCAGGTGGTCTTCGGCCAGCCGAACCTCCTCATCAAGCGATGTTGGTCGGTGCCGCGTCCCTCAGCCAGCAACCAGCCAGCAATCCGGCAGGTGTCTTGGAGCTTCTGGGCAAACGCAAATGGGTGTCCCTGATCCCTGCGCAGCTGGAGGATGGCCTGATGCTGGGTCTGGGGGAGGTTGGCGAGGGACATGATGATCTCGGCCAGTGGTGAGGACTCCATGATGCCATCTTCCTCAATGAACAGTTTACAGTGATGCCGCTTGGACTAAATGGGGCCCCAGCAACCTTCCAGCGCCTAATGGACCATGTACTTTGGGACTGTGAGGACTGCTGCGCAGCCTACTTGGATGATGTTGTCATCTACAGTGACACAGGAAATAGTCACCTTCAGCACCTGCGCAGAGTCCTAGGTAGTATCCATGACGCAGGTCTGAATGTGTCGAAATGTGAGTGGGCGAGGTAAAAGACCCTTTAGTTAGGGTATTAGCTGAGGAATGGTGAAGTGAAGTCCCAAGTGGATAAGGTAGAGGCCAATTGCAGCAGCCACAGGCCCTGCACAAAGAAAGAGGTGCGGTCACTTTTGGGTTTGGTTGGGTGGTATTGAAGATTCATCCCACAATTCGCCACCATTGTGGTACCCCTGACTAACCTGACCACCAATGGCACCAAAAACCCTGTGGACTGGACAGATAACTGTGAAAGAGCCTTCATTATGTTGAAAAACTATTTGTGCTCATCTCCAGTTCTGAAAAGCCCTGACTTCACCAGACGGTTCCTGGTCCAAGTTGATGCCTCACATGACCCGGTGGTACCTCTCCCTGCAACCTTACCACTTTTAGGTTCATCACCGTAACATATAAGCAAAAGTAACAAAAGTAACATCCTAGCAGACTTCCTTTCTCGATTGCCGAACTTCACCAATCCAGGAGAGGGAGAAGGTAATGACCAAGAGCTCTGTCACTGACTGGGAAAGTGCTCTTACGACCATAAATACTTGAGCTTTTTCACCCCATCGCTTCTCTTATATCAATTAGCCAGTCGCCATGGGTGCACACTTGATGGCTGCACTATAGTTTCGGGTTTCCATACATGCTTACATTGTCACTTAAGATACATTTCTCCTTACGTTAAAATAACACAAGTAACAATCACTACACTCAATATATTGTAATCCACTTTATTTTTAAACTTAGCGGTGTTTTGTGTTTGTCATAGCTGACTTCCGGGTATGGCAGCCGTGTAGGTCCAAAAGCAGGTGGCAATTCCATGAACGTTTAAATGTGTTTCTTCTGTGCTGCACCTGCGTGTTCCATGTGGGGTGGGTGTAACAAATTTAATCTGGGTTATTCAGTTCTGATCACTTTAATGTAATGATGAATATTTATTATTAATATGATTAATATCTGTTATTCATTATGACTGTTTATTATGTAATATTGGAAATGAGTTTACCTTAAAGGTTAATATTTTATGCTGAATTGGATGTTTGGTGTACGCCATGTGGGTGGAGCCACAGATATAAAATGTGTCAAATCCTGTTGTAGGGGGAGTTGCTCTGAACCTTGTCGTAGGAGGACCTCAGTCAATAGCCATTATTACTTCAAAACCTTTATTTATTTCTGTTGGGTATTCTGTATATAATTTTTTTCTAGTTTTTTGTATATACTTTATATATGTAATTTTGGTGTTGGACTTTTTTGAGACATTTTCTTCTTTTGGCACTGTAAATAAACATCATTGCACTTATGTGGTTTGCGGCTGAGTCATCATTCGCCATAATTTAAAAGAGCCAAAAAAGCACATCTCCACAGTAGGTACTGAAGATATGCTGAAGTACCTCATCATAGTTCTGTACCTTGGCCTCCTGAAGCCATCAGCTACCAGAGACTTTTGGTGAAAGGATGAGTTTCATAGACACCCCTTCCCCATGAGCGTGATGTCTGGCTACAGGTATGATGCCATCTCTTTGTGCCTGCAAAAGAGTGAGCCAGAGGCAGACATCATCAATGACCAGCTTAAAGGCCAGGCAGGTTATGATACTCTGTCTCACCTTAAGCCTCTTCATGACCAGATTATATCACCATGCAGAGCATTCTATCATCCGCATCAGAATCTGGCCATCAATATGCACATGGTACATGAATACATGAAGGATAGGCCAATGAAGTGGGGGTACAATTTGTTTGTCCTGGCTGACAGCGAGAATGGCTACATAGTGAACAGTGTGAAAGATATTACTAAAAATGCTAACTTTGTAATTGTGCTGGCTAAAGGGGCTCTCATAAAAGACTCACAATGACTAGGCAAGTCAAGTGGCTTTATTGTCATTTCAACCATATACAGCTAGTTAGTACACAGTGAAAAGAAATGATGTTCATCCAGGCCCATGGTGCTACATAAAACAACACAGAGCTACAAGAGACTACACATTACTACATAAAGTGCACAGGCAAAAGTGTGCAAACTGCACAAGACAGTACAATAACTACTAAAACAGGACAATAGGCACAGTAAGAGACAGTGCAGCGCTGACCAGTACACAGTGCTAGTATGAAAGTGTCAGATGTAACAGGTAGTGCAAAAGAATAACAGTATAATAAATTGCTTTTTTAAAGTAAACATAGCATACTATGACATAGTATTTGGCAGATAAGCTTATAATATATATGGATACAGTAGTTATTGGGGTATGCAGCCAGGTAGAGAGTACAGTAATAACAAGAAGCATATACAATATTTTTATAAATATAGTAGCAGCAAAAAAAAATTTATGTAGTAAATTCAGAAATGTGTTTGATTAAGAAAGCACGCATGGGGCAGACATTATGGCCGCCTGCGAGAGCAGCTCTCTTTCACGACCTGGCAGGCCTACTATATGCCCCACCCGTGGGTACCATGGCCAAGCGGTCTAAGGCGCTGGATTAAGCCTCCAGTCTCTTTGGAGGTGTGGGTTTCAATCCCATGTAGCTTCTGTTTTTAGGTCACCGTATAGTCATAAAAAGCATTTCACTGCACATAGTACTATGTGTGGTTATGTGTGTGACCAATAAAATTTGAACTTGAATGAGAGGTGAGAAGACAAATGAAGCTTTGAAAAGCAGCTGCTTTCATCTCTGCTGTTATAACATTGCCTTTATTCATTAGCTTAGTGGTATAGAGCTCTACTATTCATCAAGATTTCCAAACACGATTATGTATTCTCTGGCTAGGGCAGTGACAGAGTCAATTAGTTGGTCCTTCTTGTCAAATTTGTCTTTCTAATTCTAAGTAGCAACAAAAGTAAGTAAAGTGGCAGGTAATCATAAGGTGACTGTAATTAAAAAGGGACCATAAGAATAAAATTATAAATACAGTGTGTTGGAATGTCATGTTATTGCACAGTTAACACATGGTGTATGAGTTTTACAGTCTGATATCGGTGGATATGAAGGACTTACTGCACCACTCTTTGCTGCACTGTGGCTATATCACTCTGGAGCTGAAAGTGCTCAGCTGCATGATGAGGTGTTCATGGAGTGGGGGGGAGACACTGTTCATGATGAGCAGCAGTTTAGCCAGGATCCTGACACCAGTGAAGCCAGTGATCAGCTTCATGCCACACCACATATTCATGGTATAATTCTGTTGCATCTTCATCTCCAGTTTCCTTTTGTAGGGGTCCTCGCATTCCCTTATCTTTCAGTTCTCTTTCTACCCATTTCATGTCATCCTTGTCCCTTACTCTAAAAGCACTCTCTTCTTGTTTCAGATTGCCTTCATCTCACTGGTTATCCAGGGCTAATTTTTGGAAAGCAGTGAAATATATCAGCCAGTTCAAACTTTAGTGCTAAAAGGGCCACTTCAATCCAGTTACAAATTATTAACTTTATTGTACAGTCAAAATCTGGTAAATTTTTGTGAGTGTAGTTTCCTTCTTTTTATAACTTGCAACTCACCTTGTTTGTGTTGTCTTTCTGTCATCTTTGTATGTCCTCACATGTTCATCAAATTTATCCCAGCATGCAGGATCCGAGCTATAGGTAGCGGGATTTGCGGCCTCCTGTGCCCTCTCCGCAGCAACAGGTGAGGCCATCATGGAGGGATTTGTGGCAGCTGGGACATGGCTAATTCCAGGGGTGTTGGTGGTACAACATACTGGTATTTTGGGTGGTTGAAGTCTCAGTCCCTCTGTCTCAGACTCATTATCTGAGTGAGATGGTTATGAGGCATGGTCACATGGCTACAGCTAAGGATCTCATTGCAGTTATTTCGACCATTCCAATGTTAGCCCTTAGTTGGTAGTCCTCCTGCTGTGGATCTTCATAATTTAGTTGACTAGAAATATCCAGTCAATTTAGGGATTTTCTTTAGTAGATCTTGGGCATGGTGTTCTTTCAGCCATTGTGGCTTTTGTTTTTGTGCTCCGCTATGTCAGGTTATGTATGTTTTGAGGGGGGCTACTACCCAGCTAAAGCAATCTCTTTCTCTGCCGCCCTGCTCCATTGAGGACATCGCTCTGCCACCGTGCAACTTTGAAGGTGTCGCTCTGCCACCCTGCTCCATTGAGGGTGTTGTTCTGCCACCTTGCTCTATTGAGGACGTTGCTCCTCCTCCCTGCTCCATTGAGGACATTGCTCTACCACCCTGCTCCACTGAGGGCGTTCCCCTGCCCCTTTGCCTCGGAGAGAATGCCATTACAGAACAGATCTCAGCCTCACCAAGGGCGTCAATTCATCTCCCTGCTCCGCCTTGGACGTCATTATGCCACCTGGCTCCACTTTGGACGTCGCTCTGCCTCCGTGCTCCACTGAGGACATCACTCTGCCTCCCTGCTCCGCTAAGAATGTCGCTCCATTTCCCTGGTCCACTGAGGATGTCGCTCCAGCTCCTTGCTCTGCTGAGGATGTCGCTCATCCCCCATGCTTCGCAGTGTACATCGCTCCCTCCTCTTGCTACATAGAGGACATCACTCCCCCCACTCAATAAGAGGAGAACGTAGCTTCCCCCCCACTCAATAAGAGGAGAACGTAGCTTCCCCCCCAGCTCCTCAGAGGATGTCGTTCCACCCCCAGTTCTTGGGGGACAACATTGCTTCCCCCTCCCCGGTTCCCTCTGGCTTTGTGGTGGTTACCGCTCCATTTTTGTGCTCAGCTTTGGATGTTGTGCTACCCCTTAGCTATGGAGAGGAGATCGCACCACCCCACCACCTTGTGGAGGACATCGCGCTTTCTTCCAGCTACGCTAAGGGTATCACTCCTGGGAAACTTTGTCGGCCCTTGTCCCTTCTCGGAGGACTGTCCAGGCCCCGCTCATAACTGTGTGTCACGCGTCGGGAGCTGCGCATTAAAGGGGGACTCTGTCAGATTAGCGCCTAAAGGGCACTGAACTACAGTACCCATCAGCCAACGCACATCACATGACCACATGTTCCACTGTTCACCTGTTTCCTGTTTTACCCTAATCAGCACCACTATTTAAGTTCCAGTTTTTCTGTGTCATTTTTTCAAGCTTCTGTTGTTGTCGTTGTCACATATGTGTCGTCGTGTTTGCCACAGCCTTGCTAATAGTCTGCCTGTTTGCCTTGTATCTTGTGTTTATGTTTATGGTTCTGGTTGCTTTCTGTTTTGTAATTTATAAATAAAATCTGCACTTGCAGATTTGTGGCCCCTAGGCTGCAGCCTAGGCCAGCCTGTGCATTAATCCATCCCAGGACTCCACAATATGACTCCAACAAACAGCTATCATTCAGTACACTACAGGGCAGGGTTTTTCAATTAAAAAAGTTGAGAAAGTATAGTTACATAAAATTCCTTCCTTATAAAGGTCATGAACTGGGCCAGGTGTGATAAAAAGTTTGGCATGTTGCTTGTGCATGTCCTGAAAAATTAATGTGACGCATCTGCGTGGTGCAGTTTGTAGCTAATTTAAATAGTGGAGGCAATACACAACCACATGACAACCACAACTGAACAAACAAACTAATCAATAATACTTATGTACTATTCTAGACTGTTCCTGAGTACTACTACTAACGCTTTTCCTAAAACACTAACTGTAATAATTTTAATGTTAGTGTCTTTAACTTACCAAAAAGTCTGGTTTGGGTCCCACTCTTCTGGATTTTCTAGGTTAGTAAATGCTTTTGAATGTACGGTAAGGGTTTTTGATTTGAGATGTAGAATATGACAACAATCATGACCACAGAAAGAAAGTTTTAAAGAGAAACAAAGAAGTTACAAAGTCTGTACAGGGGCTTTTATCAAGGTGGAGGGAACCATGAATTGCCACATATACCAGTTGATTTTAGTGCAAAACCTTCAGGTGTCTGCTAGTAAGCTGAAGATGAAACAGAATTTCCCCTTTAAGCACAACAATGACCCAAAGCATACATCCAAATGAACAAAGAAATGATCAATGTTTTTGAATGACCTATCCAGAGCCCAGACCTGAATCCAACTAAAAATCTGTGGGATGACCTGAAGCGGGCTGTGCACAGGAGATGCCCTTACAATTTGGTGGATCTAGAATGTTTTTGCAAGAAAGAGTGAGAAAATATTGCCAAGTCAAGCTGTGCCACACTGTCTCTTAGCCAGAAAGACTGAATGGTGTTATATAATCAAGATGCTTCAACAATGTATTAGTTTAGGGGTGTGCACACTTATGCAACCAGTTTATTGTAAGTTTTTTATTTTTCCTATTTTTCCCTAAAATGTTTCTGATTGTCTTTCACTTAATTCTTATATGTTGTAATTTTACATTGAGGGTTGAAAAAGTTCTGACATGATTCATTTTGTTTTCATTCTTTTACATCACAGAAAATGTGCCATTTTTTAATAGGGATGTGTAGACTTTTATATCCACTGTATATAAACACATGGAACTATGCTTTTCTCACTCATCTTTGTTTTCATCTCACATTCTCTGCACGCTTCAGACAGCAGTTCCACCAGATCCCTCACTCTGTCCTCCAGGTTCTTCGAATCAGCTCTGGACACCACATCCAGCTGCTTCTTCTTCTCAGCCTGGGAGAGAGACCCCTAAAATTCACCATCCAAGTGTGGTAGGCTTCATTTACTTTTACACACATATTCAGACAGTTTTGTGGACCAACAAAATTTTGGGGATATGTGAAATGGACAAAGCATTAATAAACAAGAATGAGCACAAACACTGAGCAATTTATCAATCATGAAAATGATGTGAGATTTTCTGTAGACAGGTGTAAAGGACAAAATGTCTCCACAGAGTGTCTAAACAGTAACTAACACACAAACACACTTTAGGCCCAACATGTTAGTCATGACCTTAAAATGTTGCTGACTAGAAAAGCATACAAAACATGCAAAGCATAACTAATCATGAGAGAACATGTATACAACAAGCAACAACATTGAAGTTTTATGAGTACCTTAGCAATGGTCCTGTCAGTGTATGTTTCCGTTAACAGCCGAAGAAAGCAGAAAAGCTGCAGAGGGTTTAAATACAAAAGCAAAAACATCACATAAGTGGCATACAATGTGAAGCTGAAGGACTTGATATATCTCGCATTAAATAATAGCACATCTACTACACCAAAAGACAGTTACCCACCAGGACTGAGAAGAGCTCATGGAAATAGCCTAACTTTGGAGACAGTTTGTCAGGACCAGAGCAGGCTTTGAACCCAAGATCTCTGGGTACAGGTCTAATGCTCTACTGATGGAGCTAAACACAGATGAAAGGACCCAAAAGCAGAGGCTGGTATAGGAGTAGGTTGAATGGTTTAATAGGGGAAGAGCAAAAAATGACAAGGAATGTCAGCAGGGTGACTAGTAGCAAAAGGCAAAAATCCAAAAGGGAAAAAACCAGGCAAGCAAAAAACTCAAACAATGCAACACTCAGAAGACATCAAAAATAAAACACAAAAGCTAGGGCAAAAATTCCAACAAAATACAAAAAACAGGGCAAAGATCCAAGGCAGGATTTTATCAGTCATAGTCCATAAAAAACT